TCAGCGATACTGCCTTGAGAACTTGTGCACTTGAGGGTAGCTAAATTAAGTGCGCCATCATTAAACGCGTTTTTCTCGACACTCAACCGATCTTCATGAAATTTTACATAGGTTTTTGAGATACAATTCTTAAAGAAATCTTTGACGAAGAATTTTTTTTTCCGATTACAACTGTTTGAAAAAAATCTTTTTTTGCGAAATTTTCACCGGATTACTTCATTTTATTGTAAAAATGTCTCCCAAAAATCCAATCTTCAGTTTTTTTCCTTCGTCCAAGTTCTAATTTAGGGTTTTAACTGAAGCACGTATTTTTCACTTTATTTAAGCCTGTAAAAGCTTCAATGGCCGAATTAAATTTTTATACCCTGAACAGGGTATACTAATTTTGTCACGAAGTTTGTAACACCCAGAAGAAAGCGTCGAAGAAACTATAAAGTATATATATAAATGATCAGTATGTTGAGCTGATTCGATTTAGCCATGTCCGTCTGTCTGTTTGTCCGTCTGTCTGTATATATACGAACTAGTCCCTCAGTTTTTAAGATATCTTTTTGAAATTTTGCAAACACCATTTGCTCTTCAAGAAGCTACTCATTTGTCGGAACTGCCGATATCGGACCAATATAACATATAGCTGCCATATAAACTGAACGATCGGAATCAAGGTCTTGTATAGAAAACTTTCACATTTGACAAGACATATTCACGAAATTGGGTATAGGTAATTTTCTAAGTCAACAATGTAATCTCCGAAAAAATTGTTGACATCGGCTTACTATAGCATATAGCTTCCATGCAAACTGAACATATAGTTACTAACATAAATGCACCTGTGAAGGGTATTTAGCTTCGGTGCAACCGAAGCTAACGTTTTTTCTTTTTTTTTAAATTTCAGAATTTCTTTGTTATTAGGGTATGTTTGTAACAATAAAAACTTTTAATAAAATATTAAATTTTTTATATGAATTGTTGAAAAAAATGTATTTTTCGCGAGACAATGCATTTAATCCCTTAAAATTCATTTTTTGAAAAATATCGGAGCTGTAAATAATTTAATCGATTTCTAAAAAATTGCATATAATTTTTAAAGCAAAAAGTTATAAAATATGAAGCGAAAATCCCTTGTTTGAAACTGGGTGTGTCCCTTAAAGCTGATGTATTCGATTTTTAAGACATATCTAAGCCTTGATCTACACACCTATTTAAGAAAAAAGTCGATGCTTTTCATATTTCGTTTGATTGCACCAATAAAAATAGCGATTATTGAGTTACAGTCTTCTAAAGTATTTTCTCAAAATTATATTTTTTAAATTTTTGTTGGCGAGAGTTCTTTGATAGTTACTTTTAAATTTTATTTTTTTCTTGTTATATATAAATATTTCACTAATTTACTTAAAAATGTCATTAAAAATTAATTATCGATAAACCATTTTTCCGCAAAAGATAAATAATACACATTTTCAAGACGAAATCAACTCGGGCATGTGCTGGATAATTTTTACGCTGCGTTCTTAATTTATACAATAATTTACAATTTTATACCAACTTAAACAAAATTATTACACGCTTATTAAATTATTTAAATTATGTCAACAGCGTTTACAGTATTACAGTTAACTGCAACACGAGCGTACGCAATGACACACGCATGCACATGCGCATACAATACCTGTGGCTTATATATATCCATGTATACCCATATACGTATGTATGTAGGTATATAAATATTGAGCGAAACGCGAAAAAAGCTATAATTTTATGTTGCAACAGCCGCACGGCGCGGCGGGAACCACAGCAAAGGTATCACTTTACCGATACTGTACATAACTACACACTTACACATGCACATACACGGGCGTACATTGCGTGTGTGTATAAGTGCACAAGCGCAAACGAGGCGCTGAAAGCCACCGCCGCAACGTCACAGCAACCCCTCCTTGCAACACAACACACACGCAGACAGCGCCGCGTAGCCACGACAACCAGCTGGGTGGCCCCAAGCTCGGAAACGCGACAAATTTTAAATTTGCAACGTCAACAAAAGCCACTACGCTGGCGGGTTGAAGCGTCACTTTTTGTGTAGTCTTTGATTTTCCACCTTTTTTCGGTTATTTGTTGGCAGCATCATGGCTGACGCCAGTAATTGTTGCTGTTGCTATTACTGTTGTTGGCTGCAACAGCCATGGGCCTTGCGTAATTCGAATTTAATGCCAGCTTGTTTTTTTTTTTTTATATATGCAAAAAAGCCGCACGTCGCTCGGTGCATTCGCTCAGGCGGCTAGACTGTAGCCGAAAGTGCTATAAATATGCATGTAAAAGCCTTTGTGTGCGTGTTTGTACTTAAGTGTGTGTTTGTGTTTGCGTGCTTTATATGCAGTTGCTTGTATAACTACAATTTTAAATATTCATATTTGTCGCAACGCAGCGTTGCGGTGCTGCTGACCGACGCGCTTTCCGGCGCGCTTCCAACGCAGGACCACAATGGCGCTCACTCAATACAACCGAAAGTATGTACACGAGTAGTTACATAATTTCCATGCAACACTAGAAGTGTGTAGGTTTTATACCCAGTAGACTTGCTTGTTGCCACGGCCTTTGGCAGCAGGCTTCCATTGGCTCTTTCAATCGCACAAATACGTCGCGGGAGTGGGTGAAGGACGGGTGCGCCTTTAACATTTGATTTTAAAGTATGTTATGTTTCTTCTGTGTCCTGCGATTAAAGCAAATTTTGCATGCAAATTTTTAAATTTTCAATGCATTGACTGTAGTCTGCTTTTAGGCGTTCGTGCGCTGTTTATGCTTGCCTCTGCCTTTTAGAACAGTTGTTGCATTACAGATATTTTTATAAATAAGCAGGGGGATTGTTTGAAAAATTGTATCTCTGACTATAGTTAACTCAATCTGATAGGCGCTTATTTCATTTAAATATTATGGACATCATTTCAGTTTGTAAAGTCAATTTTTTTTTTAACTAGTATATGTGTGGTGGTAAAGAATTTTGGTTAAAAATTGAAATTTATTGAGAGTAGATAAATTACTTTTAAATAAATTTAAAACGAAAAGTATTTAATTGTTCTTCAGTAATTATTTTGTCGCCTTAATAGTTCTCCCAACCAGATGTAATACACATATGCCAATTTTTTCAGTCCTCATCTCTTCGATGAACTGAAAACAGGTTCCACGGAGCGGCAATTTCAGTTTGGGGAACAAGAAAAAAGAAAGAAAACGGAAAGCCAAATCTGGTGAATACGGTTGCTGATCGTTGGTATTCATTATGTTTTTGGTTTTAATTTCGGTAACAATCGCGGCTTTACACAATAGTGCAATATCAACGTGTAAAATCCATGAATTGTTCTTCCACAATTATGGCCGTTTTATTATTATAATTTTTTTTTTTCGGTTCGTTTTTTCCGCCATTCCGATGAGTTTTGACTGCTTTGCATGTCCAATTTATAAACCCATGTCTCATCGGCAGTTTTAATGCTTTCTTTGAATGCGGAATCAGAATTCAGATGCTCAAGCATGTCCAAAGAGACCTTTTTACGACACTATTTTTGAAAAAAGAAAAAAAATCAGCTTTATCGGGATTTGTCGAGCAAGAACACGTTTCATATCCAAAATATCCAGCAAAATCTATGTAATACTTGCCTGACGATTCTCAAGCACTATATCCCTCCCTTTTGTAATATTTCCATATTTTAATCAGTTCAAAAGTTTAAAGAACGTCCAGAACGTGATATTTATGTCTTCAACGATCTCTCGACCATTTTTGAAGATTTTGTACCACTCATGGGCTTGTGTTTTTGATAAAACTGAATCATCGGAAGCCTTTTTCAACCTTGTCAACGATTCCGCTGACGAAATTTGGTTAGAAATACAATATTTGAGACAAGTTCTTTGTTTCATACTTTTATCCGCTGTAAAAACTGCAACGCACTGTTGAGGTGTACCGTACCGATTTAAGCAGCTACTGCTAAAGAACTGATTATCGCGCTCATATTTGGCATACTAATTAAGAGCAGCCCTACCAACTTAGTAAAATAAATTCTTTTGAAATATTATTTACTCGCGGAATTTAATTACAATTGCTGGGTGCTTTTTTGTCGCAATGTATAAGCTTGGAATAAACATATTTTAATAAGACTGCAATCTGGTATTTAAGATGTCTTTTGTTTTGGTTTCGGTTTGTTGTATATTTTAGATTTTTAACCGACTTTGAGGATTAAAAATTTATTTTTAGTATTCAATTCATACTCAATTCAAGCTATTCCTTTGTTTTTGTTTTTTATATATTTTACGTCAAAATTTTAAATTTTTAAATCATGGTATCCTTTAGTAACCAAAATTTCCAGCGAAATAATTTCCCGGATAATTTTAAAAACAGATCATTAGAAGTGTATGAAAGTGGTTTTAAGTATAGAAACAAATGTTCGATAAAAATTATGAAAATGATAGGTGAAAATATTTTAAATGATTAGTATGGGCCCCTAAGAGTAAAATATCATTCTATAATTTGGTTCAACAAATGATTTTTCAGGATATTTTTTCATACACAACTATATTTTTATAAACCTTTCGTAAATGATATCTTTGGTGCAGAGCACAAACGAGGGAAAACTAAACAAAGCACAGACTTAACGTCAGCACACCTTCAATATTGACAAAAAGAATATAACTTTATATAATAAAAGGCTATAATTTTTTTGCTAATCAAAACGTTCTACAGCTCCCTTTGGCAAGAATACTAATTTCGCTTACTTTTTCAAAATTTAAAATCAGAATTGCATTGTATGCATTGTAAATTCATAAAAAATCGTTAAATAATATTGTAGCACGTAGCTTTGTTACTCCCACATATACACCTATATGTATTTGCTTGTGTATAATAACAATAATAATAATGATAAAAAAAATCGCTTCCCATAAATTCAGCATTCGCATATTTAATTTCCGATTTTCTAATAATTTCCCCTTATTTTCTTTTCACATTTTCATTGCAGCATTCAAAAACAATAAATCGATACGAAATTCGTGCGCATCAATCACATAACAGACGTTAAGTCACGCAAACGCTTTCGCAGCGACATCGACATCGACAATAACAATAACAACTGTCTTTCCATATCTACGCTACCACGCTAGACTACCACCGACACATCACTTCAGTCATGCCGTACGCATTTACTGCAACCACAACAACTACCAGACGAGCAGCAGCACACTCACCTGTGGCGTCTGGCACGACGCGTATGGCGTCACTCAAACCGCTGCGTAGCTTACAGCAATTGCTGCTGCCATTCAAAATCATCGCCATCATCAGCATCGTGTCGTCAGCGTCGCCGCTGTCGTTGATCAGCGTGGCGCAGGCTAAACACCTGTCAGCGGATGTTGGTGTTGGTAGCGCTGTAGCGGCGCTTGACGACGCCGCTTATGGCGCCTCCGCGCCGTCGGTCGCCACCTCCTCATCCTATTATGGCGCTTATCAGTTTCAACGTTTCGCAATGGAACCGCAAGATCAAACGGCTGTGGTGGGTGCACGTGTAACGCTACCATGTCGCGTAATCAACAAACAGGGTGTGCTGCAGTGGACCAAAGATGATTTTGGTTTGGGTACGTCACGTGATTTGGGCGGTTTTGAACGTTACTCAATGATTGGCAGCGATGAGGAGGGCGATTATTCATTGGATATTTATCCGGTGATGCTGGACGATGATGCACGCTATCAGTGCCAAGTGAGTCCGGGACCAGAGGGTCAGCCGGCTATACGGTCGACTTTTGCCACGATTACAGTGTTGGTGCCACCCGAAGCGCCAAAAATTACGCAAGGTGAAGTGATTTACACGACCGAAGATCGTAAGGTGGACATTGAGTGCGTGTCGGTGGGTGGCAAACCAGCTTCAGAGGTAAGCTTAAATACTATATTGCAACTTTGATTTGGCACAAACGTAAGTACAAGTTGAGCCAAACTAAATAATTTGTTAATGCGTGGACCGGAAAAGCTATGAGAGAAAATATTCAATATATATAACTGTATTTTGGGCCAAAGATTATCAAATTGTGGAAAAGTTAAATTTATCCTGAATTCGAGAGTTAATTTTTTTTTTGTTTTTGCTTTTTAATAAAAAGTGGTTATACTACCTTCAATCGAAAAGTTTTTTCAAACTAAATTGTGCAAAAATATGAGAAAATATTTCAACGAGTTTTCTAGTACAGCTAACTGGAACAAAAGAATTCTTTAGTGCAGAACCAAAGAGCCTCGAATTTAAATATAAAATGAGAAAAATATGAAGTTCTAAATAAGAGTAACCTCAAATGCTTCATTTTGAAATTTATTTGGTTTAACCTTAAAACTATATGCTAAACTCTGTAAATTAATACAGTTATGTAACAGTGATCTAGATTTGCAATTCAATTCCTACCGAATTTGGTATGCAACCTAACCTTTTTACATTCAAGCAAAATGTTTAGCATTGAATAAGGCACCATTTTGTATGCAATACAATTCAACTTCCGCTAACTGTAATTCCAAATATGGTATCCTCTGAAAGTGTATGAATCCATATATTCCACACTTGTTACCACAGTCAACACATTTACTTTCGAGAGCAACAACTAAAACGTATTGAAACACAAATTGAAATATGCCTATAACGAGAGCATTGCTTCACCACACACACACACACACTTCAATGGGAGAAGCATTTTCTTTCATTTAAAAGCTGAGGGGTGCGCAAACAAGAGACTGCCAAAAAATAAAAAATAAAAAAAATTATAAGCCAACGAATTTCAACGCTATCGCTGCAAAAATGCCAACTCATCACGCCCCCACTGGTGCTTTACCCAAACCAGCGCAAATAAAAGCGAATATTTGCGTATAAGCAATGCAAACACTCGCGCGCTGCAGGTATCCAGCTATTTTGCACCTCAACTACATATTTGTGCAATTTATGTTTTAATTTGTTATCCTTTTTACCATTTGCTCGGATTCGTAAAAATGCACGCCAATCCCCGCCCACAATCCATACAGCTGTCATCAGCATAAAGCTAACCACACATCAGCACGCTTTTACAATTTGATCCTCACACGCTTATCCCTTAGTCCTTGCTGCTGTTTTGTACAATATTTCCGTTCATTTATGCACTCGCTCACTTACTGTTTATTTATTTCTCTCATATATGTATTTACACATTTGCATATACATACATACATACACTATATATGTTTGGTGTGCACTTTTGTTTGCAGATAACGTGGATTGATGGACTCGGCAATGTTATAACGAGCGACATTGACTACACCACGCTGCAGCTGCCGGATGAGCGCCGCTTCACCGCCCAATCGACGTTGCGGTTGACACCGAAAAAGGAGCATCACAATACGACATTCACCTGTCAGGCGCAAAATACGGCGGATCGCACATATCGCTCGGCGCGTATACGTGTAGAGGTGAGTTGAGACGTAACGGAAGTCGACTGCACTTGAATGCATATACATACTAGTTATATGTCCAATAGCCTATATACGAGTATCATCTGTATATCTGCAAGCAACTCCAGTTGTTCGGCGCTTTACAATTAAGCCAAGCAGAATCTTGTTTGTATGTAGTTGTATAATACCGCATATTAGGTTTTTGGTTAGAGTTTTGATCCAGAATTTCAATTGTTGAATATTCACCAAACACTTGTTCTATTCATATGTAGAGTAAGGTTTCATATAGAACGTTTTTAGGTAAAAGATTTTTATTTCTGGTGCTACTATCATAACAAGAGACCATTATGACGCTTAGATGGTATGTATACATGTGTTTCGTACAAGTTTCAGTTAGCATAACTTATGTTATTATACTCTTTTTTATAAAAATTAGTTTTTCAGTGATTATGATATTTCATTTTCGCACAGCTAAATTAATTTAGTACATTAAGATTATAATCGAGAAACCACTTTCGCACAGTCCGCAACCCGATTAGTGGTACGATTTTTTAACAGTCAGCTGTTATACTTCTTTGTGTACTTCATTTTGAATTTTTTATTATTAAAATTCATCAGCGATTGCTATATTGTCAATGCACACAACCAATTTTACAGCTTGGACAACAACCCCCAGTTTCAACTCGACTTCAATTCGATTAAGTATAAATGTGGTAAAATAAGATTTTTATTTTGTATAGCAAATCGATTTAATTAGTGCTGCTATCCAACAAAGGCCGATTAATTGACCAATAAACTCCTGTGTGAAAGGGCTATTAACATAAACTACTATTTACAAAAAAATATTATTTATAAATAAAGACGAAAATGGAGTTTTCAGAATACGAATACAAGGGATGGTAGGTAGGAGGTAGGAGTGCAGCCCTAACGAGCTCAATTAGCACTGGCTGTGCCATTTTGATGGTAATTGATAGAAATATTTGTAATTTAACTTAAAATTATATTTTTAATAATAATAATATTTTTAAAATAAACTG